GGCTGTCATTCGAAAGGTCAACTGTTGACATCACCAGTCGCTCCATGGCAGAAAGATAGGGTTTTCTACTCTCAGAAACACAAGGGGAAAGTTCTACCCTGTCCTATAGGGTGGCTACGAGTCAGAACTGACTCGATGGCAGTGAGTTTGATTTGGTTTTTAATCTAACTTGGCCTATAGCCTGTTTTGACCAATAGAAGAAAGGAACAATCCTATTTAACTTCAGAGGCTTAGAATACTCCTTCCAATGACTACCTTGAAGCCACCAGACTTTGAGAAAACCCAAGCTGGTCAGTGGAGAGAAAGGGAACATGGAGGAGCACCAAACTGCCAGTCATGTAAATAACACCTTTTAGAACCTTTCAGTCTAGGCACAGCTGAATAGGGAGTTCTCTTCTGCCCAGTCAGCACCATATGCGGTCAGCACAGAAGAACCACCCAATTAAGCCCAGTCTAAATTTCTGATCCACAGAATCTTGAGCAAATAAAGCCTTCTTTGTTGCTGTTGTTTGAGTCAATGAGTTTTTGAGATAGTATGCTGCACAGCAATAGATAACTGAAACCAATTTAAAGCCCAGAAACTAGGGATTAATCCTAGCCTGTCATTATACAGTTATGTTATGACCGTGAGTCAGTGACTTCCACTCTGTGAACCTCAATTTCCTCATCTATAAAATTAGAGGGCTGTACTAAGTGCGCAAAGGTACTTTCCGGCTTTGATAGTCCATACAACACACGTGGTTATCAGTGAACGGTCTGAGCCACAAATGCTACGAGTACAGAGGGAACAACCACCGTGGGATCAGGGGAGCCTTGAGGTGGGTGAAAAGAATCATGGACTAGATGTCAAAAACTCTGGAGTTGTGAAGATTCAATGATGCAACATCCAAAACATAGTAAGTACCTAATAAATATCAGCAATAATCCTTTCTAGCAGACACCTAGTTCTGTGTCTCTGGACAAATTAATCTCTCTGATACCCATTTCTTCCCCCTAATTATAACAAAAAATTAATGTTTCTGTTCCTACGAGAGGAAAATTCTTTGTGCCTGAAAGTCCCAGGCATATATCAACAAACTACAAACATAAGACCTAACTAGATTGGTATTCTTATTAACCTTTGCACCATTACCTATAGGAGGCCCACTGTCCCATTCTTTTCTCCTTCTCACCAAATAAGGAGAGACACGCAGTTGGCAACACTCTCCTCCAAAAAGGCACTGACAGGAAGGGAGATAGGTGTTTAGGGGCCAAAGCTTTACGTCATGTGAAATTTTCCCCCAACCACCAGCATGAATCCCAGAGTCCAAGGGAAGAACAGCCCAGCATTGCCACCTTGAATAACTGCCTACATCAGGGCCCTACTGGTCAGCAACCTGGGAGGCGCCTCCTATCAGTCATGAATCAGACCACTGCCCTGGCAAAGGAGACCGTGTCAGAACAGAACGGTTCCAGAGGGTCTGCAGAGGCTGTGCAGTCATTCAAGGAGCTCTGGCCGTGTCGTGTTTAAGCACTGGATTGGTAGCCACAAGGTCAATCGTTGTCACCATCAGCCACTCCAAGGGAGAAAGACAGGGGCTTTCATGCTCCTGTAATGTTACAGTCTTGGAAATCCACAGTGGCAGTTCTACCCTGTCCTAGAGAGTCACTATGGGTCGGAACTGATGGGATGTGACAGTGAGTTTGGTTTTTAGGCTCGGCTCATCCACTCAATCATTCATTCATGTAGATCTCCAGTTCTCTCTCCTGAGGCATCACTGGGGTGGGGGGGGGAGCGTGGCGCTATCTGGCTGGTTAGCAGAGTAGCCAAGCATGTTAGCCGTGTGTACCACCCTGGTGCAAACACTCCATAAAAACGAATTTGAATGAATAAGCATTGCGTATGGAAATCTAGTCAGAGCTCCTGGGTCTGAATCCAGGCTCTGCATACACAGCTATGGGCACTAAGTTAGGCAACAGCCCAGCCTCCCGGAGCCCTTATACTCATTTATAAAACAGGTTTTAAGGAGACCCATCTCAGAGGGGAGTAGTAAGGAGGTACTGCAGGTGAAAAACACCTGGGATCCTTGATAATTAAGCACTTCTTAATCTTTTTCTTCTAACATGCATAAAGCCTCTGCCACCTAGATGTCCTTCAAGCCTAACTCTAACCTTTCAATCTCTTCGGAACACTGAACATGAGCAGCATGCAACCCAAAAGTCACTCCATCCAGAGTGGAATCTGAAAACCTGCCAGCCCTGGGGAGAGAGGGACAGACCAGGCTCCTTTTCCAAGGGTAAAAGGCAGGGTGAGAGGCAGCAGCTTTTTAATGCATCTGCATTTTACGGCCTGTGCTTTTCCAAATCAAGGGGGAGACTGTGGCTTGGAAGCAACCCTGAAACGCAGTGCTTGTGCAGTCAGTCACAGGGACCCTGCTCTACTGGGATATGAAAACCAGTCCGAGGAGGGGTCCATGGACACACATAGAACAGAAAAGTATTTGCTTCCACCGTTTCTGACTTCTGGGTAGTTGGATGTGCTGGTCTCCAACACCCATTACCAAGAGCTGGGAGTTAGACCTCGCCTCAAAGTCAGCCTTATCCCAGGGAAACCCTATCATTTCCCACCTGTCTTATCTTCTCTTCCGCGCCATTCTCAAAGCAAAACCTCTGGCCCTCCATGTTATAGATCTGCATCGGAAACACAGCTTGGACCAAACAGGACTCCTTCTCCCTTTCTCTAAAGAGCCCTAGTGGCACAATGATTAAGTGCTCAGGTGACAGAAAGGTTGGCAATACAAACCTACCCAGCAGCCCCAAGGGAGAAAAGACCTGCCAATCTGTTGCTGTAATGATGACAGCCTAGAGATCCCTATGGGGCAGCTCTGCTCTGCCACATCAGGGTGCTATGAGTCAGAATCTGCTCACACAACATCTCCTCTTATCTAGCACCACTGTGAATGCAGGGAAGTTACTATAGGAACTACATCTCTCAGCCCCCAGACATTCGCTGAGCAAAGAAACTGCAGGCATACAGGAGGGAAAAGGAGGGGGAGGTCCAGCAAGTTGGAAGAAGTCCCGAGCCCAGTATTTCTCTGTCTGGTCCCAAGCACCAGCAATGAGCTGCTTGGACCGCTCATTAATGGTCCATGTTGTATCAACAGAGAACGAGGGTGGCAAGAATCAGAATGCTTAAAACCCTCCCCTGGTGATTTGTGTGCACACTAGGTCTTCAGAGCCTCTACTCTAGCCTCTCCTAAGCTGGGACGAAACGCAAGAAGATATGAGAAAAAAACATAAAGGCTTGAATGTTGTCTCCTGTCTTTCTCCCTTGGAGGTTCCATCTGATCTCCCTGCTTATCTGAATTCTTGCAAAAGCAGAGCACTGGAAAGCCAAGGAGACAAGAGTCAATGTCCCAGGTTATATGCATGCAAGAAAATTAAATGATGACCCTGATAAAAACTCCTATCTTCAATTTCTCAAAAAAGCTACTCTACAAATCAACAGGGCCAGGCAAAAATTAACCCCAATGTCCCTTCTCAGACAGGCCAGATCTATTCTGAGAAAAGCAAGATAACATCTTGGCTGCAGCCCCACTCTGATCCCAGTCCTACCGGGTAATTCAGCTCTGCATTCCGCAGCAGAGTCTGGTGTCTAAGGGGGTAGGGAGGTAGGGAGGGGGTTCTCCAGCAGGAGGAAAATTATTAAAGGAAGAAAGAAAAAAATTCTTACTTCAGCTCTATGAAAAGAAAAATAATCCAATGCGGATTGGCAGCATTAGGCACATAGCACACACTACTTAAAGCATGGCTCGTGAATTCAAGGAAACAGACACCTGATGAACCAACAGATCCTTGCCTGAGATACTAGCATCCTGCATCCACACAATCATGGAGAACAGGGAACAAAGAGTAAAGCTGTCTCCATAGAAAAGGTATCAGGTTTTCAAAACCAGCAACACACAACCTACTAAAGAGGCAACCGTTTCACAGGTACACAATAGGTGCTGAGGACTGCTGGGTCTTTAACTGGGAACAGGGAGCGGGGGAGTTGGCTAGGGGCAAAAAGGAAGTGCAGAAATACATTGCTATAGAGAATCATCTTCTCAAGTCAGCTGGAACCTCAGCTGGAATTTCAAAACCCAGAACTTCTCACACAGGGGCGTGCACCGGCAGAAGGGCCGCCTTCTGCACTTTTAATGGCCGGGTAAAGAGACCTGGACTACCTCAACCCCCATCCCCAAAAGGTTGGGGCTGAGGTTTGGGCCACACCACTGAAAATCCCAGTCCCCCTCGGGACATTCTTCAGCAGCAGTTCCCTATGGGCTGCTGCAACTGAGCATCGAACCACAAGACTCTCGAAAGGGCAGCTATCACCCCTCCCCGCCCCTTGCCCCCACCCGCACCCCCACCCGCACCCCCACCCCGCCCTCCAATGGCTGGCCCTTGCAAAAGAATCCTGGCAAATTTAGCATTTAGGAAGTGACTCTGACGTCTGGCACGGTTACCTGGAATGGAGTGACACAGTCCTGAACTCCCCGGAGGAAAAGATTTTTCCTCAATCAGGAAGCGGGCACTCCCCTCCCACCCCAGCCCCCGACCACCACCACCCTTAACAGATCTTCTGAAAGCACCTTTCTCTCCTGCTAGTAGGCGAATAACACCAGTTACCCGCACCCGAATCAAAAGGACCAGGTGTCCAGGTAGCACGGACCCGCCCGCTTCGCCTCCTCAGAAAGAGGGAACCGGGAAGTAGTAACTCAATCCAGTCCAGGGCGGGGAAGGATGGGGAGTCTGCAGGTGGGAGGAGGGGGTGAAGCAATACCACTCAAACTTTGCAGTTGCTCCTTGGCAGTTCTGGGCAGGAGCCCGCGGAGCCGGCGTGCGGGCCAGGCCCCCTCCCTAGCAGAAAGACGCCCCTCAACGTCTCAGCCCAGCAGCTCTGCTTCCAAGGCGGCTGTGCATCCCAGCCACTCGGACCTGTCCCCTCCCGCTCAGCGTCCTCCCCGCGCGCCCCTCACCTTGGCCTCAAAGCAGATGCCGTGCTGGAAGGCGTCCTCGTTGTGCAAGGGGATCCGCAGGTCGTGCCCATCGTCCACAAGGTTGTACTTGGTTTTGCTGGGCATGGTGACCCGAGGTGGACGCGCTCCTGCAGAGGCGGCGGCCGCTACAGGAAAGGGCTGGCGAGACCCCGGCGAGGGGAGGCGGGAGGCGGGAGCCCGG